CAGACTTTTCTGCATAACTTATTAACGTGCAGTTTAAGCGTGACGTGCTGATTTGTTACCGACCATGAGGATTTCTTTCTATGCTGTTTGCCTCCAGCGATGAGCAGTCCGTGGGACACGAAGCTCATATCCGAATCTGTCTTTTTATTCCTATTTTTCAGTCTTGAGCCTCGTTCTAATATCATGCTTGCTGCAGTCAACGAACAAAAAGGCAAACAAAGACTGAATTTACACCAGCAAGTCACAATAAGCCGTGCACTGGCAAAATATTTAATCGTGCTGAAGTTGGAGGCCGGATCCTCCCACGTGGCTTTATTTTGGCATTGCAAACTGCACATCTTCTAAAGGTCAGAGCTTCTGATTTCCATATTCTTCTGTTTCTTTTCTTCTTTCCCTTGATAATTCAGTTCATTTTCATAGTCTTATCTAATGTTTCACTACCAAGACTTCTGACCTTTTCTGCATTTCTTTGCCTCGGTAAACGAGCTGTCCTTACGGTGTGTTGGTTCCTCTGCACAGCCCATAGCGCAGCCATCTGACTGCAGGGGGGGCAGCTGGGGGCTGCTGGTGGGGCAGGGCACGAAGGGCCCAGCTCAGCTCCTGACCTGAAGAGCTCACACCAAGCTATGCACCTTAATATTATGTAAATTACAAGTCAGTCTGTGTAAGGCGTAATATTAGTGCTCTGCTACGTGACCAGATAGACACAACCCACCAGGGCAGCAAAAAAATCTGATTTAAAAGCAGCTTCATTATTATTTATTGAGTATTGAAGTTGTAAGCACATTAGGAATATAAATGGATGCACAAATGATCTAATTTGCAATCACTGTACACCGCCTTCTGTAATGGTTCTCGTTGGAGAAAGGCAGACAGTATCATTACTTTTGTTGTTTATCTTTTAGCATGTCATCTTTTAGTCGGTGCTCGTGTGCTCAGTGAGTGTGGTACTAAGCAGAGATTGGCAGAAATGCTTTGCTTTTTGGCTGGAGCTTGCCTTGTCTTTCCTGTTGCCAGAGAACTCCAGCACTGCCTCTCCTATCTCAGCCCCACTCATCGCTTTCCTTTTGTTCCCATCTTCCCTCAATGCAGGGAACTGCTCACGTCTGTCTCCACAGGTTTTCCTGGGTCTCTAAAGCAGTGAAAGAAGCATGAACAGAAATCAGAGATAGAAACAACCATTGGAACAGGTTGCCCAAGGAGGCTGTGGATGCCCCATCCCTGCAGGCATTCAAGGCCAGGCTGGATGTGGCTCTGGGCAGCCTGGGCTGCTGGTTGGTGACCTGCACACAGCAGGGGGTTGGAGCTGGATGAGCACTGTGCTCCTTTGCAACCCAGGCCAAGCTGTGATTCTATGGTTATTTAAAGAACATACAAACCAGCATTTGGGAAACAGAGAATAAATTGCATGTAGAAGTGTTCCATTTCTCTGATGGGAAAGGAAGGCTGTACCCCACGGATACCGTGCTGACCCTTTGCAGACAGAAGGGACTGACACTGCAGTCCTTTCACAAATGTGTGCTTCCTGATGAATGAATATGAGCAGAAAAGAGAATAAGGAAGTGACAACCTGGCACCAGAAGCATTCATTTGCTACAGTTTTATCATTTACTTGTGAAAAACTTAATATATCTTTATCGCTCCTTCTCCGATCAAAGCTCTATAGCCTCTGATATTCTACTCAGTGAACTGAAATATCTCTCAATATACAAGCATCCTCTTCTAGCAGCACTGGGAACCATTATGGTATATTGTTATGTACACTGGTATTACCTAAGGAAATATTCAGAGGTTGGAAAAACAGGCATTTTAAGAGAGAGTGGAAACACAACTTCTAAATTAAATTAACAGTTTTTCTTGGTTTAATTCAACCTGGTATTTTATCTTCTAACTGAACCCCTGTACATGGATGGAAGAATCATAGAATGATAAAATGGCCTGGGTTGAAAAGGACCACAGTCCAGTGGCTCATCTAGTTTCAACCAAACTAGAAAGGGTCACCAAACACCAGACCAGGCTGCCCAGAGTCACATCCAGCCTGGCCTCAGACCCTATATTGAGAAACAAAGGAAAGAAAGCACTGTGGAGTCACCCACATCCCTTCTGCTCCTGATGCTCAGCACTGCATGCACAGCCATCCCCATGGCCAGACCCACCTGGGAGCTGCACGGCCATCGGGGCCACGATGCCATTCATTGGGGTAGAAACAGTGTTTGCAATTTGGATCCTGCTGCCTGTGATAACATGGCATGCACTCCTTTCATCCTTTTGTTCCGGCTCATGCGTTTCCCAGTTTTTTGGGTCATTGAGTTGGTTTGTGAGTTTAACAACTGCCAGTGCTGCGTGTGCTGTAAATAAGAGAGCTTCACAGAGCAGAGAGCTGTGGTGTGTGGCTGCTGATGCAGTGCATGTATGCTTATTGCTGCTGGAGCCTCAGCCTGGGAAAGCCCAGAAATTACCATTTTGAGCAACGCTTCTTTCCCCCCATCTTATTTACAGTGCACGGTTCACTGGTTAACACTGTTAGAGCTGAAATTGCTAGAGGAACTCAACCTCAAATATGTTCCAAGTCATTCCCTGAATGAAGAGGAGAACACTCGCAATAACCACGAGCAGTTCATCTCAAGGCAACTTCTAGAAAGCACGTTGTTATCTGGCAGTACTGCAAAGTGTGTGCTGAAAATGCCATCATTCATGCTCCCATCTGATTTAGTATCAGCATTTTCTGTTTTCTGCCCTATTCCTGTGAGGGACAGAAAGTCATAGAATGGCCTGGGTTGAAAAGGACCGTGATGATCATCTTGTTTCACACAACTGTGTGTGTATCTGTCTGCCCAGCATGGCCAAGGGGGAATCCCTGCTGGTGAGTGCTGCCATGGGGTCACAGCCATTGCCCAGAGGACAAACTGAGCACTGCTCGCATTCCTCCCCTCTGTTAGACAGACATAATTGCACCCCTAGGTCACAGCCAGCATGGGGGATGTGCTGAGAATCACCTGGGAAGTGTTCTGCTTGGGAAGCTCTGCAAATATTCTTTGGATTGTAGAGCTGCAATTATTCTAGATCTATGGTCTTTTAAAGATAAAATTTAATTTAATATTTAATGTTCTGCAGATTAATATTATTATATATGATGCTGTAGCAATATATATGATTGCTTGCAGCAACACATTATGGAGCATTAAAGCAGAAGGGGATTTAAGCAGACATTTAAATGGAGGTGACTCTAAATGCTCGGGTGGGTGACCTGAACTTTTCGGTTTTAACATATCTTAAACCACTGCAGTACACTTGAAATGAGCAATTTAACACATTTGCTCTTTCCAGCTTCTCCAGGAGCACTGGCAAAACCTCACACTGAGGACTAGTTCTAATTTGTGGAGGATGTGGAAGAGAAGGTAAGCATGTCCAAGCCTGTCCTTTTATTTAACCAACATCACCGTAGAGTCATGGAATCGTAGAGCCATAGTCTCACCTAAATCAGCCTGCTTCTCCAATATGGGCAGCCTATTCTGTATGAGAAGCTGCTGGAGTCACCAGTGCACAGGAAGAAGCAGCAGCCCTCATACGAAGCTGCTGTTGGGGTTTGGGTTTTGTGTTTTGGACAGGGCTGCCAGCTGTTCTCTTTGTCATTGGAAATAAAGGTAAATAATCCAAGGTGCAAGACGTTAAACTCCCTAAAGCCCATCTGCATATGTGCACCCATGTGGAGAACTCAAGAATGAGCAGACAGGATAGACGTCTCCAGACCTGTCCTCCAGACCTTTGCTAGGACAGCAGTGCTGCTGAGCACCACCATGGGAGCCTCTAGATGTGTGGCATTAGCATCTAGATGTGTGGCATTGTGACCACCGTGTCCCAGCACTGGGATGTAAATGCTCTGCCTGCTGCAGGCACAGCACGTGCAGTGGGGACAAAGGAACTGCTACGTCCTGCCCTGCTGTCAGGGCACACAGCCCTGTGTTGTACTAAGCTGCAAGGACCTGCTTCCACCGGTGCTGCTTGGTCTCTATTTAATGCACACTATGGAATTTAATCAGTGAATTTGCTAACGAACTTGTTAATGAGCTTGCCATATCTCATATTGTTAGTTTCTTCTGTTCTTTTTCTTTTTTTAGTGGAAAGAAAGAAAGCTGTTGCTGCTGTTTGGCAGCTTGATGTTTTGGGGTTTTTTTCGTGATGTTTTCTTCTTTGCTTTAGGCAAATGAAAGGAATAAGTTCACTTATAATTGCTTTCATGTAAAGAAAAGTTAATAGAAATTTTAATAACGGTAGCAGCTTAAAAGAGTTTGAGGCCATGGCACATGCAATGCAATGGAGGCAGCTCTTGCAACAGGCTGCAGCTGCCCATTGCTATGGCTCTGCTTGTGGCACAGGGGGGGAGCTTTGGGAGAATTCAGAAGGGTTCATTCTGCCCTGGTTTTGTGCAGCCCTGTGTGCCCATCGCTTGCACAGACCACCAGCTAGCAGCGGTGTGACCATTAGTCGCAATATCAATGTACATAAAAAGGAACAGGCTCAATAATATATATATGTTGAACTATTAGTGGCTGTTGTATGCACCCTTCTGAGCTCTTCCCCTCTGGGATCCACAGCCTCAGCACCTCCTTCCCTTTCTCCTGGGCAGCAGCAGCATTTCTGTCCTACTGGTACCACGGGCAGCATGGCTGTTTGCTTCTCCATGGACGGGGACTGCCCACCCCTGGGCAACTGTGCCAGTGCCTGGCTGCTCTATGGAGCAGACATTGCTCTGATATCCAACCTGACCCTCCCTGGCACAAGGTGAGGCCAGCACCTCCTATGAAGATGAAGGGGAAGAAGAGTGGGGTGCAGAACCACCTGGGGGTCTTCATGGACCAGCACTGTGAAGGATGCAGATATTGTGCACTGTCCTTGTGGAGTCACCTCAGCAGTAACCTGGCACCGCTGTGCATTTTCCTGGCACACTGACAGTCCCAGCAAGCAGCTGCAGTTCCATGGTGGCTACGTTAGGAATGTGGCTTCTGCAGCCTTCACTGTGGCCATCAGCAGCGGATGTCTGCTGTGCAGAGGGACATGGGTGCCAACAGCAAGCACCTGGGCATGGAAAGCTGGTTTCTGTTACTGTAAATGAATACCTTTAGTTCATAAATGCAAGAAAACTGATACCCAACCTGACCCAACCCAGGAGAAGTTTATGAAAGAAGATAAAGGATGGGGTACTGGGAGACAAAAGACTCATCGCCTTGCAGGAAAGAGATGAATACAGAAAAAGAAGAAGAGATGGATTGAAGCTCGTTTTGAAGGTTAGGATGCTTTTCCCTTTTCTTTTGTTTCTCCCCTATTCATTTCAAAGAGAACTACACGGAATAATAATCTACTTGTTTTGTCTGTGTGATAATTGCACTGATAATTTACTGTGATTTAAATTATCAAATTCGGAGCTCTGCATGTCATAGTCTGAAAAAGGCTTTCTTTAATCTCCAAAGATGCATATTCATGATGCCACTATATATAGCGAAAGAAATTACGCTGCCATTGTCTACTTCAAACAAGTCATTCATTTCCTGCTGTTGGAAAAAAGATGAAGGAGTTGAAACACATGATGATTGATTTGTACTTTCTAGGCTCACCTCCTCTCCCTTTGGTAATGGATTTCTTTATCTATCAACAGCTATCGTTGGCATTTAGTGTCTGCCCCGTGCAGCCTGCGCTCAGCCTTAAGTGCTGTGTCAAGCACATCCCTGCCTTGGCATTTTGCTGCCAGCCCAAGTCATTTTTTGCTCTTGCAGCAAACAGGTTTCTCATTTTCCAGCATCAGATACCCCATGCCTTTACTTTCTACATCACGATGTGCCTTGCCATGGCTGGGAGTGGATGAAGGGTCTCATGAGGTCCCCCCTGTGGTGCACATGGTATTGAAACCATGAGGAGCACATCCATTTTTTTACTGGATTTGAACATTTATAGCATCAAATTTAACCAATTTACTGTGCCAGGTAACGAAAATCCCATCAGAAGCCTCTCTGTGGAACACAATTTGCATTTGAAGGCTAAAAGAAATCCATTCTAGAAATAAAAACACCAATGTAACACAGGTCAAACATCTGCACTTTTGTTGACTTTAAAATTTAATCTGTTCTATATGACTGTGCATTAATATCAAAATACATTTGTTAGGAGTAACAGCCAGAGGATGGCAAAGGGGATTGATGGGAGGGATGGAGAATTTCCATCCTGGGCTGTGTGGTTTTGCTGGGGCAGAACCGTCCTGAAAGCCACAGTGTAATGTGGGGAGAGTTTCAAGGTGGAGAAATACGAATATAACATTGAAAGATGTTGGGCCAGCTACAGCTTGAGGTGTCATGTTTAAGGAGGGATTAAATAATCCAGCTGAGAAAACAAGGTGGTATGAGTCGTTCAATGTCAGTTTGATAGCTGGTTATTTTTCATTCCTCTGTTCTCAAGATACCTTGAAAGAATGCACAGTTTCCTCCATTCTGTGTGCCACTTCCACCTGTGTGGGTGCAGCATGGCATGGAGTGGCTGTAATTCTTCTCTCCAGTCATTGGAAGGGCATGAAACTTAGTACTTCTGCATGAGCAGTTTTGCATACGCTTCCAAAATGTGGTCACTGCTATTGTTATTTAATGTTTTCATATAGAAACAGTAGATGAGAATTGGATTAAAATCCAAATGAAATAAACAGAATTAAAAGATGCTTTCACCAGAATTGATGTATTGATAGAAACCTTTGCAGAATAACTGAAATAACAGCAGGAGGGGAGCGGATAAATAATTTATTCTCTGTGCACGTATCAATATTTTCTAAATGTGTATTATTGAGCTGAGCGTGGAAAAGCTCTGCAAGGTTCTTTCTTCTGTACACCGTTCCTCTTGAAGCAAGAACCAAAGCTTTTCCACTTTGGTGAGCTCAGTGCAGCCTCACTTGAGCCTTTCCTCCTCTTTTAGCCTGAGTAGAAGAGGAGGACATGAGATTTATTGCACAGAGCAAAGCCTCTTTTGTACCTCTGGCCAAGGAGCCTGTTGTCGTCATGCTGGATTTATAGTTAAGCTGATGTTTAATCCCTGAAGAATTCAGTCTGTTTGCTGTGAAGTCTGAGCTAATAGAGAGCAAGTCCTGTGTGTAATGCATTTTTTAAACTTACTTTTTTATTCTTTATGGAGAAATATTTCTGGGAAATGTTGGTGGTAGAAATGAAAAGAATTAGATTTTTTTCTTCTCCTTTATCAGTGGCAATTAGCTACTTAATTACTGAACATGGTTTTTAGCAGTGGCTGTGATGAGCTACAAGTTTTCATTTTCTCGGACTCAGCCATCAAAGACTCAGAAGATGCTTTTTATTGGGAAAAGATTCCTCCAGTGGGCAAATACTTTGCAGTCTGCAGATTCAAGGGTCATGTATATCTAAAAGTATTGAGGGGCACGCTAAAAACCTGAGTGTTTAAAAGGCACAGTGAGGCAAGCTCTGGCATCCACTCGCACCTAGAACTGCACAGAGGAGCTCACCCTGGTTCATTAACAGACCCTTTAAGTGCTGTTGGACCTGGTTTGGAAGTTGGTCCCATCTGCCCTCCAGCTCAGCTGAGCCCTCCCTTCCCTGAAGGACCCCTAATGAAGTAAAGTACCTGAGCACCACAAGGCAACTGAGGGAACAGCAATAATGCACAAGCAATTTGTATCTCACACTTTGACTATTTACCCTTGGAAGCAAGGCTGTTTCTCATTTATTCATTCTCTCCCTACAGGCAGAAGGAGCCATCCCCAGGTCGGCTTCCAGTACTTCCTATGACATTTATTGAAGTCAACAGAGGTATGTGCTGCCCAGGAACCTCGCTTATGAGCACCAGTCTGCTTAGCACAGGGAGAAAGGGGAGCACTGGGGGGGCTTGGCACTGAACAAAGGGGAGACTTGTCCAACAGGGCAGGCAATGCCCTAGTAGGAGGGATGGGTACTTTTGAAAAAAGGAGCATCAGCATTAGGTTCACTTATGTATTTTGCATTCAGTTCTTTTCGATACAGTCATGTGAGAAATAGTGTTTGCTTTGAAAAGATAAATATTGAGTGTGAGTTCTGAGCACTCGTACTGTGTTTTTTAAGGTTACGGCACTGGCTAGAAACATACAATCACAAAATGGTTGGGTTGGAAGTGTCCTTAAAGTGAGACAGAAAGATCCGTGGCATCAGCCAAAAGCAGATGCTCAGCCTTGCCCTCATGTTCCAGACACAAACTTCTGAGTGGCAGGGACTGAAGTCCCTCTGGTGGGAGCTGGGCAGCACCATGCAGGGCTCAGCACGCATTGCCTGCAGAGCAGAGTCCCAGAAGTGCAGGAGATCAGAACACAGGCCACCCACTGCAGCCTGGTATCCTAAGGGGGGTCACTCCAAATCTCCGTGCAGGGTGGGTTAATCATAGAATTATAGAACCATAGAATGGCCTGGCTTGCAAAGGAGCACAATGCTCATCCAGTTCCAAGCCCTGCTGTGTGCAGGTCACCAACCAGCAGCCCAGGCTGCCCAGAGCCACATCCAGCCTGGTCTTGAATGCCTGCAGGGATGGGGCATGCACAGCCTCCTTGGGCAACCTGTGCCAGTGCCTCACCACCCTCTGGCTGAAAAACTTCCTCCTCATATCCAACCTCAACCTCCCCTGTGTTAGTTAGCTGCAAGTTGGGATTTCGGTTCCTTAAGTACCAAAATTAATGATTCCTTTGTTTAGCTGATGAGAGTGCCAAGCCTAATTAATTTCCTGTCACACTGGGCTGTGCTTGTAGAGGAGGAAATAGTGGGGAAAAGTAGATGAAGCTCAGGTAAAAGATGCATTAATTAAAAGCCCGATTTGCAGTGGCCACATTTCTCTCCTCTCTTCAGATTTCCTGTTTACCTCATTTATAAGAAGTAAAGCCTCAGCCTGCTAGAGTATTAGCTTAGAATAGAAAGCTCCATAAAATCAGATGGCTTTGGTTATATAGCTGTTTTCGAGGTGGCACTGGGACGGCACATATTTTTATCCCATTAGAACTGCTTGTCTGAGTGGCCGGGTTGGATGGGGCCCTGGGCAAAGTGACCTGCTGGGGTCAGCCAGCCCATGGCATGGGGATGCAACTGGGGGATGTTTGAGACCACTTTCAACACCAGTCATTCTAGGAGCCTATAATTCTAATCAACCAGTTACACAAAGCAAGTTAATGCCTTAAGGAACTGAAAACGGGTTCTATTATTCTGTGATTTGAAGGGAAATGGTGGTGATGCTTGGCTGAGATTCAGAATTGCATGTGGAGGTCACCTGCATTTGCACAATGTGAAAAACTCCAGTGATGGCCAAATTTCTCATGTTGAAATGTGTGCTGTTCCCTGGAAGAGCACCTTGCCCCAAATAGCCTGGAAGGTTCAAAACCTGATACATCTTCTTAACTTATTGCAGGAGGAAATCTCTCCCTGGGAATATTAGGGACTTTACAAGTGGACAGAATAAATTCTGTTCTCCCTAACTAACGCTGCTTGTAGTGGGAGTCTAATTTTAGATTCCCTCTGCTGCCTGTAAATCTGGGCTTTGTGTCTTTCCCAGCTTGATGGAAGGGCATATTTAATTATCAGGAGTTGCAGTAGTATGGACAGACCTTTCATCAACATAGCATATGTCTTTTAGTTTTGTAATTGTAGGAATCCCATTATTTCTAATCTCTGAGTAACCAAACACATAAACTATACCTGCAGGATGCACTTGAAGCTTCTGATCTAAAGCAGTGCATGAAAGGATCTGCCATTGAAAGAGGTGTGTGTACAGCCAGCCATTCTAACTTTTGTTTTCAGCTCCTAAAACATGAGATAAAACTTCATCCCAGACAGGCTGCTGAGCTCTGCTTCTGTCTTCTCTGGGGAAACACTTTCTTGAAACTCTCTTTCCCCCCAGAAAATGCAGCTGCCTGATGTCCTGGGCCCTGCCAGCCTCCAGATGTGGGCACCATCAGAATGATGCCCAGGACCACCCCAGGGCTGCAGCGTTGCACACCCAGTGCATGGCTCAGTGCAGCTCCTGTTGGGTTCTGATTGGGTGTGTGCAAGGCAAATGAGACGTGGGGAGGAATTGGAACAACTTTTTTCAGCAATCAGACTTTGGATGGGAACAGCTCCCTTTCTTTCCATTTGTAATCCATGAGAGGAAACACTGAGGAAATCCATGTGTTCTGTTCTAGCCTTGAAGTGAGACAACTCACAAGGACCAGGAGGATGGTGAGGAACTGAATAGCTCTGGGCAGCAGGTGTGGTGCTTTATCTGTGTGTACAAAGCTGACACAGAGCAAGCAGCAGCCTGGCAGCTCAGCAGAGCCTGCTAGGGTGGGAGCCCAGGTCTGTGATGCTTAATGAATTCTCCATGCTTAACGAATCACAGCGTGCCCATGGTGTGCTACTCGGGTGGTTGGAGTGAGGGGAAGGCTGAAGGAAACTTCCCATAGGGGTGGGAGGAATGGCAGCAGTGCAGCAGATGGAGTGCTCTGCTGACATGCAAAGCGGTGCGCATTAAAAGGAGTAATGTGAAGTGTAACTCACTGGTGAGCTCTAAATTAGCTTTAGTCATGACAAAGACATGGGCATCACTGTGGAGAGTTAATAAAAGTATCTGCTGAGTAGGCAGTGGCTTGCAAAGAAAGACAAGCTGAATGTCCTGGTGTTTAAAGGCTTGGAACAGAAATTGTAACTGAAATACAATGGTGCTGCCGTGTACATGAAGGATATTGCCTTGCTGCAAACACTGTGGGTGTTTGTGGTCCTGCTCTGGTACACAAAGCAGTGGGGCAGGGAAAATTACTGATAGCAGCTGAAGCCACACCAAGAAATTTGCATGGCCCCTTGGAGTTGAAGATGGAGTCACTCCTGATGGCACCAAACCACCCAGCCATCAGATGTAATGCTTACACAGCAGGCTTTTACACCTTGGTTCCTATTATATGCTGCTGAAGTTTGCTTTGAAAATTCTTTAAATGCTGCTATAAAAACCAACAAAAAGAGCTGTGAGGTCACCAGGAGCTGGCTGGCTTCTGGGACCAGCGTCCTGCTGGCAATGCGACCAATGCAGGGTCAGGTTGCTGGGTGAGGTTCTGTCTATCGTGCCCATACTGCAGGGCAGTCATTTCTATCTCAGGCTCATTATTGTTCTCATAAGAGCCAATTGACTTTCCTTAACTTTATTTGACTCAATCTGTACATAAAAACCCACAGAGAAATTTATGGCCTTTACAATGCTCCCTTTACTGCCTCTGACACCAGAACTGCCTTTGCCCACATCCTGTCATGTTACGTGTTGGATCTGGTCCTGGGCAACACATCACCAGATGACGTTTCTGCCATCTGCTCAGGGCCAGCACAATGCCCATGTCAGGGTGAGCTCCTGCAGTGTTCTGGCTCCCTTCTAACGACGGCTGCCTCGTTAGGAGCTGCCATCTCTGGGCAGTGAGGGCACAACTCAGCATCTCGTTCCATGCCACAAACTGACGTCTTGTTCAACACCTGATAAAGCACTGCGTGCTTCTGGAGGAGCAGAAGGCAAACAAGGGCCTGGATACAGAACTCCTGATTATAACACCCTTCTGATCTCTGCCCTGGGTCACCGTCCCATCCTGCTTTCCCCCTCCCTGACCTTCTCTCCTCCATGAGCACCCTCCCTCCAGCATGCTGACTAATTTCAGCCCCTGCCCATTGCAGGGCTTCGCCCTCAGGTCATTAAGATTTCATTCTGTTTCTGCTCTTTTGGCCCTTCCCAGCCTCTCCGTGCAGAGATTCTCAGAAAGCTCAGGCAGGGTCACCACCCCTGAGCTCTGTATGGTAATTCCAATGACCTGCTCAGTAGTAGTGTAGAGGTCTGGGCAGTGCTCAGTGCTTCCCATCACACCTGAGGTCCTCTTCTGCATATCTTTGCTTCATTTCCGTTGCCACACTAAATAAGATTTCAAATGACAAGCAAGAAAAACTGAGAAACAGATTTTTGGAGACCATTTACCAATTGAAGACAAAGAGGAATTTGAAAACTGCTCAGTAAATGGCAAATCTTCAGTGTTCCCATGGGTCCCACAGCTGCCCGGGTGCTGCCACAGGGTCCTGACCGTGGACTCTGGGTTTTGGACTCATGGGAGAGGAGCCTGTAAGTCTTAACAGTCCTGATTTGTGTGCACAGCTCAGCTAAGGAGCGCTTCTGTCTTCACAGATGTCACTTTTGACCATCAGCCTGAATGTGTCCTCCCAACTGGAAGGGCTTTTTTCACCTTGATGATCCTTGAGGTTCCTTCCAACCCAAGCCAGTCCGTGATTCTATGATTCACCGACTGCATCACATCCCACAAAGTATCTCAATGCAGAGCTGAAGCAACTCCCCTTCATCTTAATGTAAGTAAAACAAGGCGTTACACTATTTGGACATCAATTTCTTATCATTGTTGCTGTGAAAACTGGTGAAAAATGGGTGTAACTAGCATACCTCACGCTGTAATTTTCTGCCTGCGGTGTTTATCTCCTGCTGCTCGTTGCATCTACCTAATTCCTCTTTATTGCCACCAGCAAAGCAAAGCTTTGAGATTCTTAGCAGCGAATTCGGGAGGCAAAATATAAACGCTTTCTTGTGACTCATAAATCGGCCTTTTTATGGTCAGAGCAACAAAGAGATGGGCACTCTTATCGGGAACATGCACATTGTACACTGCCAGCAGCGCTGCCAACTATCAGTAACGACACTGCAGCGCACGGACCTGAGAAATATGCTGAAAAAATCCCACAAATGATTTGCTGTAAATTGCTCACAACCCACGGTTCAGTGCTGCAGGGCACAGGAGTGCTCTGTGCAGTTACATCACATCCCATCCTGGGGAGTAACAGTGGGGTTTGGGAGGTGCTTCAGCACTTGGTTCTCTGTGATTTCAGCTTCAGCTCAAGCTTCTTCACCTCTAAGCCTACTTTTCTATCTATTATTATTATCAAACTTGATAATTTGTGAAAAAAGTATGAAATGCCATCGACTTCTAGTGGCTTTTGGAGGACTGTTTCTTCTTCAGAGCACATTTTCTGAGAATCATTGTAAATTTTACTGTTGTGTATGGAACACTTTGTGGCACATAACTTCTGTTCCTGTGCTTTGCACTGACCATAGAATCATAGAATGGCCCGGGTTGGAAGGGACATCAAGGATCATGAAGTTCCAACCCCCTGCTGCATGCAGGGCCACCAGCCTCCACATTTCATAGCAGCCCAGGCTGCCCATGGCCCCATCCAACCTGGCCTTGAACACTTCCAGGGATGGGGGGCATCCACAGCCTCTCTGGGCAGCTGCTCCAGCACCTCACCACTCTCATAGGAAAGATCTTCCCCCTGATATCCAACCTCAATCTTCCCTCCTTTGACAGATTTTGCTTCAGGAGCCCAAATCACTGCTGGGTCACCAGACTGGATGGCTCTCTGCAAACATTGATGCAACAGAGCAAGGCCACATGCAGAGCTAGATCCTGCACCTGGGATGCAGTGCCTATGGGCTCTCTCCTGGCATTGAGGTCTGCAACTTGTGAGATGTGACAGCTCTAGAACAGCAAGCTGAGTGTGGTGGGGGTACAAAAAGAAATGTCCTCACAGGTCCTGCTCTGCTCATCCAGAGACTGCAAAGGATCAGAGCAGTGCTGCTCCACACTGCTTCCAACTTTATTTCTCCCATTGCATAGCACCAAGACAGCAAAACGCACTACTCCTCTGCTGCTCAGGCTAATCAGGTAAAAATGAAGGTAAAAATACCTTCCTCAAGCATGTCACCTGAGGAAGGTATTTTCATAGAATCATAGAATGGCCTGGGTTGCAAAGGACCACAATGCTCATCCAGTTCCAACCCCCCGCTGTGTGCAGGGTTGCCAGCCACCAGACCAGGCTGCCCAGAGCCACATCCAGCCTGGCCTTGGATGCTTCCAGGGATGGGGCATCCACAACCTCCTTTTTAAGGATGGAGGATGTTGTCTGACTTCACTGTACTCAGCACCTTCTCCTGCCCCCTGGAAGCCCATAGGCTGTGCTCCTGCCTGGGACAGGAGTTTGCCCATGTCATTGCATGCTGTGTGTTACATTCGGACAGCAGTACATGCTCACTGCAACAAATGCTTTCCTCCTGGTGAGATGTCTAAAAGGAAGAAGTCTATTTGCACTATATACAAAATCTCTAAAACTGACAGTTTATTCATTTCCCTTTCACTTATCTGTTATTACACCTTAAAGGAGACATCTGTTGCACAGTTTCTGTATTTTAATCATCCATGAAAAATTCGATTAATTTACAGTTAACGTCTTGTCACTTTCACTAATACTAGGCAATGGGATTGAAGGGATGTAAAGCATGCACAGCTCACAGAGATAGTTTGTAGGTTTATAACGTATACGCTTGAAATTTGTTCTTGAAAGTATGCTTTGGGGTGGCCAGGTCCTGTGGTGGGCTCAGTCCACAGCAATGCCCCCATTCCCACTGCTGTACCTTCTGCTGCAGAAGCACATGAGCTAAAACACGGTGAATTGTCACTCTCTTAATTCTTTCTATATCCTTTACATAAACTATTTTAAGCTTCATTTAAAGCCTATGTTGTTAATGGACTCTGATGGAATGAAAGTGCTTCAGCTGCACCAGTTTGGTTACTCTGTCTGATTAAACCATTCTTCATACTTCGGATCAAATACCTTCTGTTGCACAGTGGTAGTGTTAAGAAAGGGCTTCTTGAGCTCTACTGGGGAGCTGTGATTCTGCCCCTATGTCTCCCTAACTGTAGTTAGGGAGGAACTGTAGTGTGTTCTTTATACCTTACTTCTGTGCGGGTCGCACTGCTTGAGGAACATCTGAAGCATCAAATATGCCATTCCTTTTCTTCCCAGATTGATTTGAAAGTTAAATTGGGCCCAAAAGAGCAGCTCCTTCCACCCAACAGCCACTCTCCATCAGACAGCACCAGGAACCAGTCTGTGTCTGGCTGCTGACTCCAGCAGGACTGATGCTGGGCTCAGGAGCAATCTCCTGCTCGCTCTGCAAGGAGCTGTACGTAAATCTTAAGACAGAGCTGTCAGGCAAACCTTGCAATCCACTTTGCCCCTTCACCTCCTTTATAAAATGGGAACGATGAGTGTACCACCACCACACATGCATGGAGTGGGTGTATGAGAGCTAAAAGCGGGGATGCTCGCTGTCTATTTAGAAGGAGGGCTCTGATTTGAGGCAGGTTAAGTTTTTATTATTATTGAATTCTTATGTTTCAGAATGCTCAGCTCGGAGAGTTTTTTATTAAACTCATCTGTCAGAATAGAAATACTTCCTGGAGAAGGCTGGATTGTAAGGGACGCATTCGATGAATGTGCACATATTATGTCCATAAATGTTTGTTAGAAAAATTATTCTCAACAGATCTGACAGAGATATGAAAAATTAGATCACAAATCTCATTAACGACAGAGACACTGAAAGAGGGATGAAACCAATTACTGTCGATATTACTTGTCAGAAGAATGTCATGGCTCTCCTCTCGATGCTGGTCACATATCTCTCAGTTGAAATAACTCCACAAATAATGACTCCTTTTCTCCCATCAGCAATGAATGAAAGAAGTTTCTGCTTTTCTTATGCACATCCTGTTACCTCAGTTATCCGAGAGATGGACTGATAATGCTGTGAAAGGTCGTGTGACTGCAGGACTGCACCCATTGACCCCATGTGCCCCTCTGCTCCCACCTCCTGCTGGCACTTCCCTGTAGTGAGGTATCAGGCTGCTCTGTCACCATGACAACTTTGCTTTTCATGACAAAAGTAGTCTGTGGGTAGGGATTTGAGCACTCTGTAAATGTGGCTATTGAGCTTCACTCACTTTGTCACCAGGAAAAGCAAAAATCCTAAACAAGTACTTTTAACTGGGAAGTAAAAGGAATGTTCCATATGGGGGCCTGTAGTGGCAATGCTAAGTCATGGCACAAAGCAGTGATTGAGCACCTGGTGGGAAGGCAGGACCAGCCCAGGGGATCTCAGGTGCATGCAATGCAATGCAATGCAATGCAATGCAGCTGAGTGATCAGAAGGGTGGAGCCAGGATCCTTCCCTTCCCAGACTTCATTTAAGGGCTGGCAGTAGAGGCGATGGTACCTTGTTTGAGATCTCTGCTTTCTGGAGGCCTTCTAAAGGTAAGCAGTTGTTCTTTCTTTGTTTCAGCATCTCTGGCTGGTGTATTTGGGCTTGTTCTCATTTGCTGCAGCCTAGGATTGTGCTGCTCTCTATTGCTGCTGTACTTTCTGTCACATTATAGTATTACAGCATTGCACTTGATGAGCCAGACAGATACTTACTTACATGGATTACCTTAAAAAAATCATGCTGTGGGACCTCAAAGTGGAAGTTTCAAAATATCCCCCCAAAATATACCCCAAAAAGGTGTGAGACTTACTGAGGGAAAACAAACAAACAAGAACGTGGAACCTGGGGAACTTCCTAGTTCCTAGTAAGAGTAAGAAGCTTCCTTAAGTGACCCAGGCCACTGTGCCAGAGTCACCAGAGGAAAAGGAATTGGCAATTCTCAGCTATTTGCTTGACAGGGGATGCCAGCCCCCGGTACCTAGGGCCTCCAGTCCTGTCTGGGGGCCCCTGTGTTAGAGCTGATTATTTTTTGGTCCCAAGAGAATATACAGTGAGTTATGGCAGTGGTTGATGGAGGCAAAGAAATGTCAGTTATTTATTGTGATCCAACCAAGTTCCAGGGAGGTAAGGTGGTGACTGGTGGGTTTGGGGGACAGACCATCCTTGTAACCTATGGTGATGTTGTACCTGGTTAATTCTGAGGGTTGTATGTCTCCCACCCTGGGAGTGTAAGGTGTCTATTGCCCCAGTCCTGGAGTATATAATGGGCTCAGACATATTATGGAGTCTGACTCTCCAGATGACCATAGGAGAGTTCAGACTGAGAGAGAGATGTATTAGTATGCAGGTGGTGCAGGCAATATTAAGAGGTCATGTGAAACATGAGCTTATTCACTTGCCCAGTCTGTGCTGGATTACTAATACTAATCAATGTAGATTCCCAGGGGGGCAAGAGGAAATATTTAGAATGGTTCAGGAACTGGAAAAGACCTGCACATAGCCCCTCTAATTCCCCCATGTGGCCAGTACCAAAGTCAGACAGCATGTGGAGGATGACAGTGGATTGCATAGAGCTGAATAAGATCACACCGCCCATTCATGCAGCTGTACCCCACATTGCCTCCTTCGTGGATACATTGAGTAGGGGGCTAGAAACCTAACAATGTGTCCTAGACTTGGCAAATGCATTCTTCAATACTCCCATCCATGGAGAGTTGCAAGATCAATTTGCACTTATGTGGGGAGGCAGG